CGTTCTTGACGGCTGCCACAACATAGTCATAGCTAGACATTGTCCACATGTCGACTCCGTCCAAAGACTTCTTTCGTAATCTGGCTCCTAGATAGCTCTCTGGGGGTTCAATCTTCCCTTTCTTGAACTTAAACGACCTTCCGATTCCTTCCATTACCTCTTTGGCTTTCATTGACATACATAGTATGTCATCAACATAACACATGACGTGGCGGGGTGAATTCGGGGCATGTAAGGTCCTGCGAAAAGTTGGTCAGGGTCCAGGGGAAAAAATAGTCCCGAGACTGCGGTGTTGTGCTTTCATGGAGCGACAGAAATCTTTGCGTTCCTGACAAAGCAACTTAAGCCACTCTTCCTTGTCCACCAATGACTTGCAAAGGACTCGTCGACGGCTTGTTAGCATCGGTTGAATTTCCTTAGGCAAGTCATCGGGACCCATATCAAACTGTGAGTGAATCCCCTCATTGATAGTACTGTGACGTTCACGTAGTTGAACGTTATCATCCAAATGTTGAATGGAGTTCCGTTGCTCTAACATGTAGAAGCCGATCAAGATCAGCTGTTGTGAGAGGCGGGACGCCCAAAGAGAGACAGATCGTTGACATCTGATCTTGTCATAATGTTGTTGTTGGAGCGGAAGCCAAGACGAGGCTATGCGTCCCTCCAAAAGGCCTTGAGACCCAATCACCTGCTGAGCCAAGTAGGCCGGCCGAACCGAAGAGGAGATGGTCCTTAGAGGGGACAAAGTAGGTGTGTGAACGCCTTGAAGAAGCTGTAGGATCGCTGTTTTGATGGAAGGGCCCGTCAATTGCAGGTCCAGCCACGCGGAGAAGGCTGCAGTGCAGCGGCCCCGTTCAGCTGTTGCTGAAGCAGCGCGGCACCGGGGAACGTGAAGATGATCCTCGAAGTCGCCGCAGCGTGGGCAAGCTGCTGATGCCTCCAGACCCCATAGAACTTTAAATTTACCTATGCCACACATGCCCACACAATGTTTAGTAGACCACCTTTGTAGTCCTGCAGGGAGGGATTGCATGGCTCGGCCAAGTGTGTCCCAGGCGGTCTCAGACTCGGCTTCGGCCGAGATAGCACCTTTGTCCCTCCAGCGCGAGCGGAGGGCGGGAAGGGTCACACACTCTTGGATGAACTGAGGATCAAGGCGTGACTGTATGGCGCTCACTTCACGTAGAAACACCTCCTAAAACTTACTTATGGGATATTTGGCTCACGGTCGAAACGCAATTGTTCCATTCGACTACTTCTATTGAGTCCCGATTGCCGAACTTGAATGAGGTTTCTCACAAATTGTTCGGGAACCAAACAATAAAATCACCATAGTGTGATGTCTGTCATCGTTTAGGTTAATATCTCTATCCATACTCAATTCCCTGTTGCACTTTATGCACCAAATTAAACTTAAGCATATCAGGGAATATACTGTACAAAAAGTGCAATAGGAGAAATTTTCCTTGTTGTGCCAAATAAAGGTCACCGTGCTATTAGATACGCACGCATAGTCTGTACGCGGTAACGTACAGAATAGGTGATGGGCCACACACATCATCACAACTTTCTAGATTTCCTTTTACGAACGTCTATCAACTTTCCTTTACTTTTATCATCCTCCTAGTAAGTCTATCGCTACATGACGCATTTTACATTGTTTATCAAGACCCAATAGCTATGAAAGCAAAAGCTATTCAATGAAATGCATTCAAATGAACGAATTATGAATACGAATACTGCAATATTTTTTAATATGTGCAAAGCCGATTTCGATCGTGTCAATGGTGCTACATCACCGGTTTTGACCATGTAAAACTGTCAAAGGTGTAACAAATGCAACACCAATACAAACGAACTAACTAAGGAATCACTTTTATAGGCAAAATGGCCGCCGCAATTCCTGTTTTTACGATCTATGATGCCATGATTTTATGTCAAATCCCTGACACTGGGAATTTCCAAGGACAAACTGACGCTCAACGTATGGCAGAAGAGCTCTTTGACAACGATTTTGGCACTGCCATGACCAAGTCAATCAAGCAAGTCAACATGGACCTTGCAACGCTTGCATCCTTGACCGCTGTGCAAGGACGAATTGTGTCAAGACCAAGGGCTCAAGACCAAATCAGAGCATTTGTACAGTGGGTTCGCGATGAAATTCGGATGGGCAGGAACCCTGCACAACACCCTTTCCCAGCTGGAGATACATCTACTCTGCTGCAGCGATTGAACTTCCATCAAAAGTATGATGTCAAAGATTCTAAAACTTTAATTGACAATACGGTTCCACCCAAGTGGAGCAAAGAACAACAATGGAAGCAATGGGTCAAGCTGCTCCGTGACCACCTCCGCGCATATATCGGTGTCAATGGCATCCCTCTTGTTTATGTGGTCCGCGAGAATGCAGCTCAAGACCCAACACCACAAGACGATTTTCTTGACGAATACATCAATATGGCTCTACTTGTTGGAACCGCCTTTATTGTGGATAACAAACAAGTGTTGGCTCTACTGAACAAATTTATCATGGGTTGTTCTGAAGCTGAAATGGTAATACAAGCTCTCAATACTACTACTGATGGTAGAGCTGCTTTCTTCGCATTAAAGGCATTTTATGAAGGTGAAGGCATTTTCGCTCATGATGTCATGGCAGCGGAAAACATCATTGCAACACTTTTCTATGCAGGAGAAAAACGCCCAGCTATGTACTGGCAGAAATTTGAACAAATTTTAAATAATGCCAATGCAACCATGCATCACGAATATGGACGTGTAATGTATACTGACGTTATGAAGCTACGATCCCTCCAACAAAGAATCAAAGCTGACTTCCTGTCACAGACGAAAGCGGCAATTGAAGCTAACATGCATGCTATTCCTATGACTATGACATATGATCAGGCCATGCGAATGTACCGTTCCAAGGTGGCAGAAAAATTCCCTCCAGCTTCCGCAGCTGCCGTTGCTTGGGGGCGACACGTCAGAGAGCAGAATCGAAACACACGTGGGTGTTGTACAACAAATCAATGCAACTGCTGATAGGTTTCAAGATGTTCCAATCCGGCCATCATTTGTATCAACTGAACGCCACTCCAAGGTCACCGCGGAGAATCTTTCTGAACGCTTGGGAATCAGCATTGGTAGAGCCAGAGCCACATTAAACGCAACCCTGCAACGTGGAACCAGATCCGCTATTATACCACTTGCCAGGAGATATCAAGCTGATCGGATGTTTGAACGCCCACGATTGAAGGAAAAATTTTCTACTGATACTGCCTACTTCAAACGAACTTCTCTTTGAGGTAACATTGCCAGCCAGGTATACTTTCACAAATGTGGGTTTTACAGTTGTCACCACTTGCAGAAAGTTAATGATGCACAA